AACTAACTCATTGCAGGTGTTCGATCGAAGCTATCGAATGCACCTTTTTGCACGAAGGCCTTAGGTTTTAAAGCATGCGTTGCACTCTTTTTCCCTTAGATCGGATTTTGTCCCAAATGGGTTTTACTGGCAAGGTTTTTAATGAGGCAACAACTATATGCTACCTAAGGAGAACTCAACAGTATCCAAGGCTTCTTTTAAATCAACCTCGAATATTGGGGGGCATCACCCTCGAAGGTCATATTTTCGAGGAAAATACTTCACGCCTAAGAGGGCCTCGATAGGAGGACTTTGTAATGGGCCAAACAGTCAGATGAACCGTGTCCATATAGAATAGTCGAGCCCCGACGGTAAAACATGTACGCATGTATCAATTATTCGAAGAAGCATTCCTTCTAAATCAAAAAACTTTGTGTCTCAAAGAAGTCTGCTATTATACGAACTCTACACTTACAATTCTACGAGAAATGGCCCCAAGGGCCAGAACGCAAATACACCCCGAATACTCGGGGACTGTCATCGACAGTCAACACATCTGAGTCATCAAAAACTCGAACTCATAAGACCGCAAAGAGGCATCCCCTCGACATAAAGTCCAAGGCCATCATACTCGGGGACTAACCTCTCGAACAAGTTCGAAAGGTTATCGGGAAACAAGTCCAAGAGACATACTCGAAGGCTACGACCATATTAAAGACTACGGTCATATAAAAAGGCTATGGCCGAAATAATGCGACTCGGAGAAGTCCGACTTCTGCCATAAAATTAAAGGCCTTCAAACACTTTGAAAAAATCGGTTAAATCAGGCTACCCTCGGCAAAAGCAAAAGATAAAGGGCTTCGATAAAATCAGCCCTCGAATAATTTAAAGGCTTCGATAACATCAGCCTTCGAAATAACCTCAAGAGGTATTCGATTATGTTTACATAAACAAATTACTAATAAGGTTCCAATACGCCGAACTTCAAAAAACCCAACGGGTATAAAAAACACATGCTAAGGCATAGATAAATTTTCACTAAGTCTTTTAGCCGAAAAGAGGGGAAAAATTATAGCCGCTTTAGAGGCCGAATTGGCCCAACTTAAAGATCCTAAGGGCCAATATAAAAGATCTTAAGGGCCGATATAAAAGAGCCTAAGGGCCAAAACATATAGGGTTCGAGACCTTGCTCTCACTCAACTCGAACTCAAGAGTCCCATTATCCCGAGCTCGTGCCAAATCAACTTAAGCATAGCTCGAAGACTAACAAGAACCTAGAGGTATTCTATTCTATGTTCAAGGATCACACGCTAATCACTAAAAAACCTAAGGGTTGTTATATTCAAAATCCGAGCCAAGGTTCACTTGGTTATTGAAGTTATCAAATTTTTCAGAAAATAAAGACAATGCAGAATCGAAGATGAAGCAAAGAGATCCTTTTATATTTATAAGAGGGGCTTACAAGAGATATTTTACAACACCCACGAGGGGTCCTTGCACAAAAGCACAAAAACAAAATAAAGAAACCTAAATCTACTCCGGGGCCACATCTTCGGCAGCTGCATCTTCGAGAGCCGCATCTTCGGGAACCTCCTCCTCAGGGACTTCATCTTCGTCTCCTCCGCTCTCGGAGCCACTAGCTGAATCCTCATCATCAGAAAGCAAAGCGGCAGCCTCTTCTTCCAAAGTCTTTGCTTTTTCAATGTCGGCTGAGAGGTCGAAGCCGCGAGCGTGCACCTCCTTGAGGGTTTCTCTCCGGGACTGTCGTGCGGCGTGGTCGAGTGCACATGATAGCTAAACTTCGGCCGCGGCAGAGATCTCCTTTTCCCGGATGTTAGCTGCCTCAGCATCAGCTCGGTACGAAGATACAAATGCCTCTGCGTCATATTTGGCCTTGGCAAGATCAGCAGCAGATTTAGCTTCGAGCTCCTCAATTCTGCGGCTTCGAGCCAGGCTTTCCTCCTTTACACTATAAAGCTGGCATTCAATTGAAGCCAGTTGCTCCCGAAGAGTATCTTTCTCTGAGGCGAGACGGTCCATGCCTTGTCTCCACCCTAGGGTCTCGGCCTCCTTTATCTTGAGATCCTCTCGGACCTGCTCCACCAGCTCGTCCTTTTGTTGAGCCTGCAAAGTTGAAGTGTTAGCCGACCATGAGACAAATGCATAACAAAACTTCAAAGGGTTCACATGTTGACATAGAGGTTCACAGGTTCGGCTCGAAGATCCCTGATCTCCCCCTCCTTTTTGACATAGAGGATCTTAAGGCCGTCCTTTTCTTCCGAGAGCTTCTTGAGCTCGGCCTCACATCGAGCAAGCTCAGCTCAAGACTTGGCGTCTCAGCCTTCACAAAAAGGAAAAGTTAGACTCAGAACAATAAGGATAAAACGCAGGCGTGATCCTAAGGGCAAAAACTTACTTGTTTGAAAAGCCGATGGGCCTCATCAAAAATAAAAGAAGCATCTGGGTCGGGACCATCTTCAATCCCTGCAAGGCACTCTCAAAAGATATCGTGCCCTTCGTGGCTCGTCCCCACATCAAGAGTTCACATGTCCGAGCATCTCGAAAGTGCCCCTCGGAGAATTCAGGACCAGGCGGCGATCATCCACGTTGATCACCCCAAGTGATCCACTCGGGGCATTCTCTTCTCTTTGAAGGGCCTCGGGACCGGGCCCTTCGGTCTCACCCTCCAAATGACCTCCAAGATGAGGTGTTCTTTTGCTACCCCATGGTTCGGGGACTTTGCTCGATCTCCCCTCGGAGATTTCTTCGGTCTTAGAGTGAACCACATCAGCCACCATCGATTCGACAGACTTTGAAGCGTCAGTACTTCCTCTTTTTCGAACTACCAACAGGCAGTCGTCATCTTTCCCCTCTTCCTCCCCGTCCCGAAGGCGTTGGGCCGTTCCTAGAGATAGGGCCACAGTATCGGCCTTAGGCTTTCGAGCCTTGCTTTTCTTTGGCTTTGGGGGAATTTGCAGGTGACCCCCTCTTTCTTTTCTTTTCTTTAGAAGGCTTTAGGATCTCTTTTTCACCGGGCGGGGGCGGCCGCATAGCAACGGCGTCTCCGAGTCCTGCATAAAGACAAAGTAAGTATTTCTCTGAGAAACACAGATAAGCAAACAAGAGAACTCACCATGGTTTTTAGCCTCCCATCGACCTTGGGCCAGGTCACGCCAACTGCGCTCTGCGTACGAAGAAGTAGAGGCCAGTTTCCGGACCCAACCTTCAAGGTCTGGGACCGCACCAGGGAACCAAGCAACAGCTACACCATCGGAAAGGGGTTAGACCAAAAAATAGATAAGGTCGAGAAAGAGAAGGGAAAGCAGGGTATAAAGTCACTATCGATAAGCATGTACTTACGTTTCATATTCCATTCCTCGGGGAATGGCATCCTCTCAGCAGGAATCAGGTCGGAGGTCCTGACTCGGACAAACTGACTCATCCATCCTCGATCTTTGTCTTTATCGATGCTGGAGAAGAGAGATGTCATGGATTGGAGTTGCAACTTTATCAGGCCACCTCGATAAAGACGAGGGCTGTGTAGCCTGATCAAATGATCGAGGGTAAAAGGCATTCCCTCGACCTGGCTCGAGAAGTATCTGATCAGATTGACGATGCGCCAGAATGAAGGATAGATCTGGCCAAGCGTCACTTGGTATTGTTGGCAAAAATCAAGAATAACTGGGTCAATGGGACCCAGAGTTGGATCGGCAAGGCCCAACGTGAATGGGTAGGTGTACACGCTTAAGTACCCTGCTTTATGAGTAGTGATGTCATCTTCAGGGGAAGGGATCACTACATCTTTATTCTCCCAGTTGCAGTCCTTTTTCACCTGCTGGAGCTCATCTTTGGTTATCAAACAGATGTATCGGGACATGGGCTCACATCGGCCTGGTGTTGATGCAGGTTTTTCGATTTGAAAATTGGATATTATTTCACACGGCGGGGGGAATACACTCCTCGATACGAGGTGGCACCACCGTTTTACTTCCGGCCGGCCGCGATGATGAAGAGGTTTTTTCTTTTTGGGAAACAGATTTAGATATTTTAGCCATTATGGTTTGGAAATTCGAGAGAAGAGAAGGGCGGTGATGATGAAGTAAGAAAAAATTGGGAGAAGGATGAACTCAGAGAAGTTGAAGAAACTAATGAGATTTTGAGAACGATTTGAGAAGTAAAGTTTGCAAAATTGTGAAGTTGGCCTATTTATAGAAGTCGCTTAAGCGTATTGGGGAAGCCAAATAGCCGACTGTCAGCCGCCCCAAATTAATGACTTTGGGAACTACACGAAAGCGACCTTTCAGTCACTTCAACCGCTGACATCACGAGATTGACATCAGGATCAAGGCGTCGGAGTACGCTGACATACAAAGGGGACCCCAGTCATTTGTAAACATCATCTAATCATTGGCAAAGAATATATTATCTTACTTTTCTGGCTCATTGTTCATCAGACTTGTCTTTTCTCTTTATTGTTCCTACTTTATTGTTCTTGGTTCATCTCGAGGTCACTAAGCTCGAGGTCGAAACTGCTCAAGTATACTGGTTTGATTCACTTATTTATTTCATTTATACTTCATACTTCTTGATTATTAATTGGTATTGAACTAAATCACATATCTTTAAAACCACAAATTAAATTTAATTGTTACTCGTATTTTCGAGGTAAACATATATCACATATTAAAATTCACTAATGATGTAAATATATTTACATTATGAATATAACTTAGGTTCATTAGTTTGGATGTTGAGAGCTAGCGCACTTGCTGAGCTTCCTGTCTCTCATAATTGAAACCCTCAATCCCAAAAGAAACATAAGAGAAGACGCTCTCTTAGAGTTTTTAATTTGATATGGCTAATGGGCAAACGTTGACCGTGAACGATGAAGAGAAAAAATAAGAGAAAAAGAATGGTCCAAACACCCCAAAGAATCGCCACAAAATTAGCATCCATTCAAAACGCAAACAAAACAACATACACACATTCCTTCTTAATTTGTCACCTACCATCTCCTTCTCTCTTGATGCCACTACCAATTTCCACCATCATCTCCTTGTTGTTGTTGTCGTCGCCGCCACGGACGGCGGCAATAACACATCAATGGACCCTAACAACAACATCTCGACGACACCAGAATCCTCCTCTCTCTCTTATGAACCTTCACTTAATAGCAATGATATTGCCCCTAGCAGCAACAATTATAACCACATTCTTGAAATTAGCCTCATCTCTGCCCAAGACTTAGCTCCTGTATCCAAATCTCTACGTACTTATGCACTTGCATGGATTAACCCGAACAGAAAAAGAAGCACACGTATTGACAATGAAGGGCACAATAATCCCTCATGGAATGACAAGTTCTCCTTCAAGGTTTCATGCATGTTATATTAGTATTAATATTTTTAATTCGTGGTGGAGTTGGGAATTTAAATAAGGGGGTTCGAAAAAATACAAGAATGTGAACATGTGACCTAAAGCAATATTTGAACCAATTTTCTTTTTACAGTAGAATCTTCTCTTAATTTAAGGGGATTCAACAATTTACATACGAGAAAAAAACTTATTTCTTGCCTGTTTGCGCAACATAATTTTCTAGATTCAATTGAACTCCTTTGCGTCTACCTAGCTCCGCCCCTATTGGTAATATATATGAAGTGAGATTGTTTCATAACAACAACAACATACCCAGTATTATCTCACATCGTGGGGTCAAGGGACTTGGTATTATCTTTTTTATTTTTAAAAAAATGAATTTAAATTTAGATATAAATTTTAGTTTTAAATTAAAAGGACATGTCTATTCATGAACCAAAATGGTTTTGTTGTACCCTGAAAATACTTTGTATTGCTTTCCATAATAGTGTGTGTGTGTGTATATATAAAAGTTAAGAGAAGTTGTTTTCAAGTCTCAAGTTTTTCCTCAATTCTTCTCATATTCTATTTTCTTACAGGTCAATGATGAGTTCCTATATTCAGAAACTTCTGCAGTTCATGTTGAGATTTACACTGTTTCTTGGTTTAGGGATGTGTTAGTTGGTACAGTTCATGTTCTTTTGAATAATCTCATCAACCCTTTTGTTAATTCAAATGGCAAAAGATTTGTTGCTTTACAAATTAGAAGGCCATCAGGAAATCCACAAGGAATTCTCAACATGGGTGTCTCACTTATTCATAGTTCTATGAGAAGTATGCCACTAATTTGTAATGATATTATGAATCCTTCTTCTTTGGATTGTCGAGACATTTTACACAAGAAAATGAATGAAAATTATCAAGAAGATGATGAGAAACAAAGGCAAATAAATGATAAAATCCAACTATGGAGATCTTTGAGTTTAGGGTATTCAGAAGTTAACAATGAAGATTTTCCTAACAAAGCTGGCTCAGTTTGTAATGGCTCAATGGTGAATGGATCAATGTGCAATGGTTCTATAGTAAATGACTCAGAATTGTGTTCCGATATTGGTCCATCAGCTTCCATTGTTGCAGCTGAGATAGCCGCTAAAAGGTACTGATGTCGAATTATGTGATCATCTCATCATATAACTTCTTGATAATTAGAGAGCATTATTTTTATTAATTTATTATGTTTTCGACATTTTATGTTTCGGTCAAGCACATATAAATTTGATAATTGGTGGCAATGAAAATCCTGTGCACAAATGACCTTTTTCGAGGCTACTATTTAAATTTTGTCCTATATTAGTCCAGTAGACTAAATTTGTGTTTATAAAATGAAAAATTAATCCTACCATTTTTAAAGGTGATATTTAGCCACTAGGCTATCGGGGGACAAAATTTAAATAGTGGCCTCAAAAAAGGTCATAGGTTGCCAAATAATCATGGTGATGAGACTTGAATTCAAGACCTTTATCAGCTCGTATATTATGTTTAATTACATGATCATTTCATGTAAAAGTTTAAATTATCAGATAAATAATAATTTTACTTACTTTTATTATATTATCAACAGGTACCAACCACCACCGCAGCGAGTCCGGCCTGAGCCACCACAAGAAGTGCAGATCAAACAACCAACGGAAATGGAAGATGGAGAAAGCTCAATATTAGAGGATTTAACAGTAGAGGAAGCATATGCTAAAGGGTTAACATCAAGTATGGAGAAAGGGAGGAAGGAGACGGCGGCACAGGCGATGGTAAACGGAGGACATTCACGGCGGAACTCCGACGGAGGGTTGTTTTCTTGCTTTGGAAATGCATATGGTATTGAGTTCAGAATTGTTTGTGGAGCAAGTAACAATAACAACAAGAATAATCATGGGAATAGTAGTAGGATTCCTAATACTAGCAACAGAAGCAGAAAAAAGTGGTCTAGTGAGACAAATTCAGCTTGAGGACAACCTTATTTTAGTAAATGTAAAGTGTTACAGACTAAATTAAAAGTTGTTTAAACTCGAGTAGTCTTCGCCATAAGGGGCTAATTTTATTTATAATCTTTTTGGTAATGAATTTGTTCTTTTTCTAATTACTCCTCTCATTTTTGAAAATAGCCGGTTTTTGCATCTTTAGGCATATAATTCAGTCTTCCAGCAAAGCCAGTAATATAGTGTTACAATTGCATTTTTCTGTATTTATCTGAAATTCGTCTTATAAATTCATACTAACGTCAAGACTCAAGCCTACATACAAAAAATAGTTGACGTCAAGTATATATGATTTGAGTTCAGAATTGTTTGTGGGGCAAGAAACAAGTAGAATCATGGCAATGATAGAACTCCTTTGAAAGAATTGGTCTTGTGAGACAAATTAGCGTGAGAAATAATTTAATTGGGCAAGTTTAACTCATGTAAGAATATTTTACATTATCAGGTCAGTAAAAATATATTTGTAAATAACCTTGCGTAAAAAGCGAGACAAATAACTTTTGAAATAAGACATATTACTTGGTATAACAGATTAAGATGACATAATAATGGAGAAATTTTTTACACCGTCTGAGTATACAAGGTAAACTCTTTGCACAAATAACCACTTTTGCGGCTCTATATTTAGAAGTTGATCATTTTTCAAAAGTAGACCATCACTTTGAAGTTCGAAAGTGGTCACCTAATCTGAAATTTAAAAGTCATATTTAATACTAGGACCAATAGTTTAATTTCAAGAACGTGGCAAACTTCTTAATACAGGGCCCATGCCACAAAAGTGGCCACTCGGTGTAAACCACGTCCTTTCTTTACATGTGGAAAGTGCTGTATCTAGGTATATAGGATAATATAAATATTTTAATTATATACGGTGTTAACCGGTGTTTTCAGTAAGCATACACGTAGATTTCTAAGAACTTAAAGGTAACAACTAATTCGTTATTTATGTAATATCTACAATTTTAATTATTTTTACAATAATGTTCATGCATAAATCAGAATATTAAAAAGATTTCTCTTTTTGGATTTAAACCGTATTTCTTCGTGTGTATTTACTGCATTGTTAGAGCTAATTTTCTTTGTAGCTATTTTTTTGGAATGAATTTATTGTTTTTTTTGAGGCCTTTTAATTTTTTTTTTTTCCCAACAAACAACTTTGCTATATTAGATAGCTCTCAAATAGTCAAAGGATTCAACAACATCGTTTACAATCCAACTAGGAAAAGTAGAAACCAATTAATTCAATGTAATAGCGAGATAGAAAACTTGGCTAAATTATGTGCTAAGACGTTCCAAGATCTAGGAATATATGCAATATTTATATCTTCAAAGGAATTCATCATCTTCTGGATATCTTCACAAGTTGTCTCTATCTCCTATGAGACAACTATCCTTTTTCTTAGCATATCCACCATATTTTTTGCATCTAATAGAATACGCACCTTTGGCCATCCATTTTCTCTAGCTTTTTCCAAAGCTTCACGAATTGCTAGTGCTTCAGCAGTAATGGTTTTTCCAACAAATTGAATTTGGGTGTGATCACGCCCAACTATGCCTTATAAAAGACAAAGCGGTCGTTGCAAATATAATCCGGTTTACAAGTCCGAAGTCGAATCCTCAGGGAACTAACCTATCTATTACAACTCTTAGTGATGCTAGTACCAACTCAACCAATTCCCGGATGCAAGATTTTTATCAATAAATATTAGGATTTGTTTAACTAAAGTAAAATGATAGTAAAACTAACAATATTCCAAATTAAAGGTAATCCAATGGTAAAAAGATCTAGGTATTTACTTCCCCAATTGCTAGATTAATTCTTAACTCTTTTGCTATAATCTCGCCGTAATACTCTATGAGGATTATGAGCTATGGGCTACCACAATTATCTCTCAATCAATTACGATAATTAACTAGAGCATTCTCTCGAACTATTCTAGCTGATATACCACCAAAGTTTCGTTATTCTAACCCCACTTTTAAATTCAAGTAATTAATCTCTTCAATTACCCAAAAGTGGTGTTGTTCAACAACAATCTAACCTAGTATTCTTTCTCAAGCAACACAAGGCGATTAGACACGATTAATCAATGGCCCATTCAATTAATCACCATGCAAAACATAGTTGAACAATTTTGATGACCCAAAAGGTCATCACTTGTTTTTAAAATAAATTCTGCATTTCGAGGCCTTAAAATCCTCTTTTATCTTCACCTCGATTTGTGTGCGCAGTTCAGGCGTGTAGCCGGAAAGCTGTTATGTGAAAAATCTGTGAAATATTGAAATTTTGACTTAAAATGCATTTAAGTTGACTTCGGTCAATATTTTGGGTAAACGAACCCGGAGCCGTGATCGGACGGTCCCGGAGGGTCCATAGGAAAATATGGGACTTGGGCGTATTCCCGGAATCGAATTCCGAGGTCCCAAGCCCGAGAAATGAATTATTAAAGAAAATTATTTTTTGAAATTTTTTAAAGGATTTGGAAATGAAATTTGATTAGAACATGTTGGTATCGGGCCTGTATTTTGGTTCCGACACCCGGTACAGGTCTTATATATGATTTAAGATGATTCTGTAAAATTTGGTGAGAAATGGATGTCATTTGACGTGATTCGGACTTTAAATGAAAATTTTGATGTTTTATGAAGTTTGAAATAATTCATTGATTTTGAGGTTAAATTCGATGTTAATGATGTTAATTTGGCGATTTGATCGCATGGATAAGTTCGTATGGTGTTTTTGAGTTAGTATGTATGTCTGGTTAGGAGCCCCGAGGGCTCAGGTGTGTTTCGTATGTGCTTCGGAAGGTTTTGGACTTAGGAAAAGTTGCAGAATTGCTGCCGCAGGTGCACGGATCTTTTGTGCATCGTGATCGCGTAGTAACACTCGCGATTGCGAAAGGGAAATTTGGGACAGGGGTGGATTTGTTCTTCGCGAACGCGAAGCCACAGTCGCGAACGCGGAGCACTGGGAGGTTGCTCATCGCGAACGCGACCTGTGTGACGCGAACGCGTAGTGTAAACTGGAGGTGGGCTGGGGACTTGTCTTTCCTTCTACGCGAACGCGTAATGCTGTCCGCGAACGCGAAGGTCAGGGAGACTTACCCTTCGCGAACGCGTAGAGGAAATCACGATCGCGTAAGTCCACTTACTGGCAGCTCTTCGCGATCGCGATAGTGTTCTCGCGAACGCGATGAACACTGTCGCCTAGCACTTAAAACAGTAGCCATTACGGGATTTACACCAAAATTCATAACTTCTTCATTTTAACTCCAAATTGGGCGATTTTTGAAAGGAGGTTTCACCACCAATTCATAGGTATGTAATCTTAGACTCATTTTCTTCAATCTCCATTAACACCCATTAGATTTCTAGGCTTAAATCATGTTCTTAAGGGTAGAAAATTAGGGATTTGGGTAGGGTTAGGGCTTTTTGATTAATTGTGATTTAGACCTCATTTTGGGGTCAAATTTTGGAACTAATTATATATTCGGGCTCGTGGGCGAATGGGTGATCGGGTTTTGGTCCGAACCTCGTGTTTTGACCAAGCGGGCCCGGGGTCAATTTTTGACTTTTTGGGAAGAATGATTAGAAAGCTATAATTAAGTATTAGAATGGGATTGTTGAGCATTTATTGATGTTATTAAGTCGATTATGTATTGATACAACTGATTTGGAGCCGAATTCGAAAGGAAAGGCGGTATTTGAGGATTGAGTTGGTCGTGGAAGTTCGAGGTAAGTGTTCGGTCTAACCTTAGCTTGAGGGATTAAGAGTTGAGTCCTATTTGCTATTTGCTTCTTGTTGAGTACGGCGTATAGGTGTGAGCACGTGATTTTTGCCCTATATGAATTATTCCCAAAAATTCAAACAAAATAATTTCTTTATTATTTTACAATTTTTGTGAATTTTTGTGTTATTTTCTGATAATTGTTGCATTTTATTGGTGTTTGTTTTAATTCATATAAAAAATATAAAAAAAAATTATTTTGCATTTGCATTTAGGATTTAATTTCATATTTTAGGATTAATTAGGGTTAAGTGGTTATTAGAACAAAATATAAAGAAAATAACAAAAATAGTCCATTTTTGCATTTTTAATTGTTAATTGTTGAATTTGCCACGAAATAGTTTTTAAACAATTTTAGGAATTAATAAGTTTAACTTTGAAAATATATTAGGTCTTTATTTTAATTTTTTTTTGCATTTTTATAAAGTCAGAAAAATATAAAAAAATATATAAACAAAAACGAAAAATAGGAAATAAAAGAAACAATTGAAATCAAAAGGGGTGGTCTTAGTAGTAGACCGAATTGGGGCCATTTTCTGAATTAATCCAGCCCAAAGTGACCCCAGTCCGAGCCCACACCCATCCCCCAACCCGGTCCGACTCTATAACCATCAAAACGACGCCGTTTAGTGCCAAACAAATCTGGACCGTCGAGGTACAATAGATCAACGACTCTCAACTGTGGGTCAATTAATATTTAACGGTCGGATATCCCCGCCCCCACCCCCAGATCGTCATCTCCAATATACCCAAACCAGACCCTGTGTAACACCACCGTGAACTGCCGCCGGAAATCGTCTCCGCCGGCGGTGGAGCTCCAAACGCCCCCAAAATTTCACCACAAGCTCCCCTTCCCCTCCTCTTTCCAACCCCCAAAACCATCCCCCTCGAATCATAACCCAGCCTCTCGAATATCAGATCAAAAAACTCCGGCCAAGATGCAAACTCGTCCAAATTCGACCAAATTTACACCACTCAATCTCCTCAACTCCCTCAACCCAAATCCACAACCATTTTCCCTCAAATGTCAGTTGAATGTTTCGAATTTCAAATCGAAAATTCCGGCCAAAACCCTAGCTTCTCCAAACTACGCCAAATTGATACCACATGGCCTCCTTGCTTCCCTCGTGATGAATCCACCGTCATTGGCCCTCGAATCTCATTGGAGTCAGTCAAATCTTAAATCCGAAAAATGGCCGGTAAGTTTTCCTTAGGCGTTCTTAGTGTTCTTTTTAATTAATTAATTGCTTTAATCAATTTGAGTATAGTTTTATTTGTTTGCCATTCTTCTGTGCTT